TCCCACTGTCATTGAACCAGGCTTTGGTGCTTTTGGCAGTGTGGGCAGGTGCCAAGGCCTGCTGGAAAATGAAGTCAGCATCCCCATAGAGCTCGTCTGCGAAAGGAAGCATGAAGTGCTCCAAAATCTCCTTGTAGACAGCTGTGTTGACCCTGGACTTAATGAAGCACAGTGGACCAACACCAGCAGATGACATGGCTCCCCAAATCAACACAGACTGTGGAAACAGTCACACTGGACTTCAAGCATCTTGCAGTGTGTGCCTCTCCATTCTTCCTCCAGACTCTGGGTCCTTGGTTTCCAAATGAGATGCAAAAGTTGCTCTCATCAGAAAAGAGGACTTTGGACCACTGAGCAACAGACCAGGTCTGTTTTTCTTTAGCCCAGGTAAGACGCTTCTGACGTACAATAGTAATACAAATACCCTAAATCTCTAGCTTAGATAAGCTCAGTATATTTATAAATTTATCTGTACAAAATATTTAAGCAATTTAGCTATAAATAACATAAAAGGTAACAGATATAATAGATACACCAGACTAATTAATAGACAGTCTAGTAATGTCTGTGCAGACTCCTTGATTCAGAGATTCCTTAAAATAGTGATGCTCCGTAATACAGATGGATATATGCAAAAACAAAGGAATAAATCCATAAATTAATTAATCTTGGTACCAGCAAAAATTGATGAGATGCAGTCCAAATGGTAATAAAATACAAATTACTTCTTAGGAGTCTTAGCTCTCAACTAAAAAATAATATAAAAGTCACAATAAAATATTCAAATAAAATGCTACATGTGCAGACCTCATCTACAAGTGTCTGCACGCTGATTCACAAAGTGCATACTAGATGCCGACCTTATGTGCTCACGGCGTCCCGGATCAGCAGTTTAGATGTTACAGTGCTGGGTGCAGTAAAGGCAGATGCATCCTAGTTGCTGGCTTTTAGTGGTCAGCGGTCAGTCCCTCCAAACGAGTTTCTCCGTAATAACGGCTTTCTCAATGGATATGGACTCTCTGGCATTTTGTCGCTTTTATAGCGGTCTCTCTTTCTAATTTACACAAATAAATACATACTATTTCTAAAATACATTACATACAAAGTGTTCATTTAAAATACATTGTGTCAGTTACAAATGATATCAATTTCTCATTCTTAATCACATATATTGAGTTACATTTCAAATGAATATATGTAACCATAGTTACTCCCGCTTTAATCATATTCACATTTTAACTGTTATTCATTTATCATGTCAATATCTCTTAATATAATACAAAAAAATCAAACAGAATATATTTAAAACTTTAAACCATTGTTAACAATTATTCTGCATATGGGGATGAGGCAAGGGTTAACGGGTTTTGCCGCTAATACACACAGTAGTAATTTATTCTAGATCTGTTATTGGTAGTTTAAAAATGATGCTACGCTCAAGGGATGTATATCCACCTTTAAGATTAATAGTGGATATTGTAATATTATTCCTAGCTATACTCGCATCTTCAATCAATGTTTATTAGAAGAGACCTCGTTTCTCCACAGTGACTAATACAAATTTTTCAGTGTAGTTCCACATATAGCAGAAATAATAGAGGAAAGAAAGAAATAGAGATAAAAATTAAAATTAGAAGATAAATAAAAAGAAATAAATTGAAATTTAAGCACTTTAATTTTGTATTCATGAATCATATATATATATATATTTTTTTTTTTCCCTCTATTCCCAGTATAAGAACTCTTTGAATAATTTTTTAAGAATATATATATTTTTTTAAAATAATTTCATCTCTGCTAAATGGGTTCTTCTCCCAGGATTATCGAAGATGCTATGGGTTCCATCCTAAATTGAACTTTGTAGTAATTTCTTATTTGTTCCAGGTAATATTAATGATGATTGAGAAATAGGCTAATAGCACTAGTTTTTTAACCCAAAAAATTATACAGTTCAAATTCTGCATTTAACCCATGCTGTTGTAGGGTATTTAAATTATATATCCATTTCATTTCTTGAACGCCCAATTGCTTGATGTGGTCTCCACCTCTCCAATGCTTCTTTACTCTACATATAGCTTTAAAATTGAAAAGGCTCATATCCGCTTTATGGTACTGCGCAAAATGAGCCGATACTGTATGCTGCATGTATTTTTTATTAAGATTTAGCATATGTTCTCTTATCCTCGTGCATAATTGTCTTTTTGTTCTGCCCACGTACCGGAGTCCACATGGGCATTCCAGTACGTAGATTACACTTGTACTTCTGCATGTAATGAAGTCTCGAATTTTAAATGTTTCACTCTTATTCTTTGAATTTCTCCTAATAATCTCACAAATCCCTGTCGTTGGAGTATTTCTGCTAGTTTTACATGCAATACATTCATTACAATAAAAGCAGCCTCTCTTCTTCATTCCTAGTTCTTCCTTCTTATCCATCTTTAAATGATTGTTTGTTAATTTGTTCTTGATATTCCTGGCTCCTCTAAAAATCATCCTAGGTTTGTCAGGTAAGATATTTGCTAATGATTTATCTTTCTTAAGCAAATGCTAGTGTTTCCTTAAGATTCTTCTTAATTGAGCATTTTCTTTACTATAGTCCAAAATGATAGGTGGAAATAGACTAGTTTGCTGTGTTGATCTCACTTTTCCCTTTTCTCTTTCTTTTAAGAGGTCATTGTGGTCCAGATTCTCTACTTTCATTAATGCCTGTTCAACCTCCTGTGAATCGTAATTTTTAGCCAAAAAATTTTCTTTTATCTTTTCCGCTTGTTCCAAATATACTTGATGGTCCGTGCAATTCCGTCTTAATCTTCTACATTTATTATATGGGACATTCTTCAACCAAGCCGGGAGATGACAACGTTCTTTCAAAATGGAACTATTGACATCTACTTCTTTGAAGTGTGTCTTAGTTTTAATAGTTCCTGAGTCAATATAGATAGTAAGGTCCAGGAAGTCAACAGATGTAGTACCGTACACTGTGTTAAGTGCAACTCCCCACGTGTTGTTATTGATATATTGAAGAAATTCTTCCAATTCTACCATATTTCCTTCCCATATGAAGAAGATATCATCTATGTATCTCATAGCTATGGATGTTCTTATTCCATGGGTGTATGTTCCATATATGATTTTCTTCCCATTCACCCATAAATATATTTGTGAAACTAGGGGCAAATTTTGTCCCCATTGCATTTCCTCTTCTCTGAAGATAAAACTGGCCTTCAAAAAGAAAATAATTGTTTTTAAGTATTGTGACAGAACCATCCATCTGACTATTGTGGTGGATTTGTCTGTTTCCTGCACTTTCGTGTAAATGGCTGTTTCCTATAGCCCAGCTGTTTCCTATAGCCCAGCCATTTGTTTTTTACTGAACAAAGCTACCAAACGGATGGCCACCCAGGAGAGAAGTGTGCTGCTGGTTAACCTATTGATCCCAATTAGAAAGTTGTGGTTAACCGCAGACACTTCTCAATTAAACCGAATTCAGGGTGGCTGTCGTTCATATGTCGACCACAAGGCAGCGGCCATTTTAAAACACATGAAAGCCCAGCGGTGTTCGGCTCTATTTTCATGGAACTAAAAACGGACACTTTTTCTGCCGAACACCGCTGAAACAACGGGACGCCTGGCTGCCTCCACGAAAACGTACGAACACCGGCCGTTCGGGAGTTTTACAGCACATGAAAAGACTTAACCCAGATAGCCCTCCCATGGAGTCAATCGCATACCGAAAGACTGTAAGAACTTTGACTCCATGGCGATTGAACTATGTGTGTGGGATCTGAGCGCTATTCGCCAATAATATGCACTCAGATCCAGGCTATCTGGGGATATGTGATGTGAATAAGAAATGTTCGGTTATTTTCAAATTATGTATTTTTATGTATTTTCTGGTTTTGTATCTAAGATGGCGATTTGTCTTTGTCCTGGAGATAATTGAATTACTTCTCAATTATCTCCAGGGCAGAGGGGAGGAGACCATATTGCATTGTGGGAAAAACCTGTAACTGTATGTCTGAAATGTCCCCCTGTCTATCTGTCATTTCAGTCTCCCATTTGGTCCCCTAGGGGAGTGTCCACCAAGTGGGAGACCTGCCTAAATACGGGCAGGTAGCCCACAAGAAAGCCAGATCCTGTTTGACCCTCAATGCGGAGCTTCTGTCTCGTTATTGGGGGATTTCTTCTTTGCGCTTAGAGACTGCTGATTGGAACCGAAAGCCGCTTGGTGGATATCGTTGTTCGGTGGCTAGCAGCAGTTCGTGGATTTCCGTTCGGGAGTTTGGAGCCTTTCACGGATCCCGGTCGGGAGATTACCGCTTCCCCTAGTTATGGTTCGTGGATTACAATTGATGCGAATGGATTACTGATATTGCGAAAGGGGAAGGTAAACTAAACGGCAGTTTCTCTTAAAGACACCAGGGGTGTCGTAACAAGTATGAATTCAATCCCTTGAGTATTTTAAATGAACACTTTGTATGTAATGTATTTTAGAAATAGTATGTATTTATATGTGTAAATTAGAAAGAGAGACCGCTATAAAAGCGGCAAAATGCCAGAGAGTCCATATCCATTGAGAAAGCCGTAATTAAGAAGAAACGCATTTGGAGGGACTGACCGCTGACCACTAAAAGCCAGCAACTAGGATGCATCTGCCTTTACTACACCCAGCACTGTAACATCTAAACTGCTGATCCGGGACGCCGTGAGCACATAAGGTCGGCACCTAGTATGCACTTTGTAAATCAGCTTGCAGACACTTGTAGATGAGGTCTGCACATGTAGCATTTTATTTGAATATTTTATTGTGACTTTTATATTGTTTTTTAGTTGAGAGCTAAGACTCCAATAAAGTCATTTGTATTTTTTTACCATTTGGACTGCATCTCATCAATTTTTGCCGGTACCAAGATTAATTAATTTATGGATTTTTTCCTTTGTTTTTGCATATATCTATCTGTATTACGGAGCATCACTATTTCAAGGAATCTCTGAATCAAGGAGTCTGCACAGACATTACTAGACTGTCTATTAATTAGTCTGGTGTATCTATTATATCTGTTACCTTTTATGTTATTTATAGCTAAATTGCTTAAATATTTTGTACAGATAAATTTATAAATATACTGAGTTTATCTAAGCTAGAGATTTAGGTTATTTGTATTACTATTGTAAGTTTTTTGTTAATCAGTCGTTAGGTTTCCTATTTTATCATATATCCCCTCTGGTTTAATCTCTGACACTTGTCCAGCGCTCCACTCCCTAAATATTTTCTATTTATTTAAGACGCTTCTGACGTTGTTTGTTGTTCAGGAGCGGCTTGACAAGAGGAATACGACATCTGAAGCCCATGTCCAGGATCCGTCTGTGTGTGGTGGCTCTTGATGCACTGACTCCAGCCTCAGTCCCATACTTTTGAATGGCCTTTTCCTGACAATCCTCTCCAGGCTGCGGTCATCCCTGCTGCTTGTGCACCTTTTTTTTCCACACTTTCCCCTTTCACATAACTTTCTATTAATGTGCTTTGATACAGCACTTTGGGAACATCCAACTTCCTTCGCAATTATCTTTTGAGGCTTTCCCTCCTTATGGAGGGTGTCAATGATGGTTTTCTGCACAACTGTCAGGTCAGCAGTCTTCCCCATGATTGTGATTCCTGCTGAACCAGACTGAGAGACCATTTAAAGGCTCAGGAACCCTTAGCATGTGTTATGGCTTACTTAGCTGATTAGAGTGGGACACTGTGAGACTAGAATATTGCACCTTTTCACAATATTCTAATTTACTGAGATTGTGGATTTGGGGTTTTCATGAGCTGTAAACCATAATCATCGCACTTATGACAAATCACGGCTTTTAAACTTTTTAACACTTAATAATCTTTGTGTCCTACAGGCCTTGCATTATTACACGAACTAAAACCTCTCCTTCCATCTGTTGAAATGTTTTTGTGTAACATTGGGTAGTTTTTAAAGCATAGCTGGGGACTAATATATTTTTCAAATTTCTTGCTTTTTTAAAAAATCATGGGAACTTATTTTGGGGTGTACCTTCCCCAAAACTCGGTCCTTTAACAAGATGTCCTAATGTTTTTTTAGGATTTTCCTTATTTCCTGGTGCTGTGTATTAAATTGGGTAATAAAAGCATATTTATAATCCTCTTTTTGTGCCTTGTCTTTTTTTCTTTGGTTTTAATAATTCCTTCCTACTCAACTCTCCAATCTTGGATGCTTACTGTTTCAAAGCTCTTTTTTTCGTATTTCTTATTAGATAAATAATTGGTTTGATCATAATAGTCATTATCTTTAGAGCAATTTCTCCTAATCCGGATTAACTGACTCTTAGGTATTGAATTTAGCCAATTTTCATGGTGACCGCTTTTTTTATGTATAAAGCTGTTTCCTTCAGTCTCCTTAAAGTAGCACTGTTGTTACACTGAGGTAGAAACTGATTGGTTCATGTCACCTCTGCAATCCTAAAAATTGTGAGAATGGGGACACAGTGATGATGTGGCACTTCTAGAACTGAAAACGATGCTAGGCAGTGCATCGATCTGGTTAGACGGAGCAGCGCATTGATCTGGTTAGAATTGCAACAGTACCCCTCTTTGGAAAACATCCACTGGGTGGTATGGACCTGGCTTTTAAAGAAAATTTGAATTAAATTTAATTGGAATTAAATGAATGTACAATATGAATGGAGTAAACCTAGCGAGCAGAACCTCAGAACCTCAGGACCATACCCCTTCCTATGGACGGGATACTGGAGCACACCACGGGAAGAGCAAAAGTCTAGTTGTGACTCAATTTAAAACTCTTCCTGTCCCTTCAAAATCAGAAGAGGTAGAGGAGAAAAAACAGGCTCTATTAATCAATTACACACAAATGGCTCCAGCAGAGATGTATGGAACACATTAGATATGCATTTGGTAAATCAAGTGCATGCAATACAGAGTTGATCCTACACAGGATCCAAAAAGGACCAATGAATTGAGAAGTCAGTTTCATAGACAGCTCTTGGAGATGGATATTGAGGACCGATAGCCAAACCCGATTCCTCCACAAGGTAAGTAGGTAAGTAGGAGCCACACAATGGTGTCTATCAGCCTATACCTTGTACTGTCTATAAACCAAAATACACTGTACTTGTTCCAAAGTGTTCCATTCCCCGTGAAGAAAATGCAGCAGTATGATGTTGGCTATAAAGTTTTTTGGAGAACTCCCTTCCCTTCTCTGTTAGTCACTCATCCAGTCTCTACTCCTTCAAAAAAAATCTTTGAAAACACACTTCTTCAAAAAAGCATATCATTGAAACGGTTAGTGGATTTTCATTCCCCCCTCCCCTTCCCATGACTATTCTCCTGCAACTATCAAAAATAACCTACTAAGTTCCCAGTGAATACTTTTCTAGCAACCTATTTTATTACCACTACTTATACCCTTTGTGTCACTATAGCCCACTCCCTCTAGCATGTAAGCTCATTGAGCAGGGCACTTACTGTGCATCCATTTGTCTGGTTACAATTACGTGTCTGTTAGCCCACCCATTATACAGCACTACGGAATTTTGCTGGCGCTATATAAATAATAAAATAATAAATATACAAAAAAAAATTAGCTATATCGATAGGATTCATGAGAGGCATTGTTGCTAACAAACTCTGCCAGCCATGTCCTATTAATGGTTTAAGATAAAACAGTGTAAGTACTGCTCTAGGAATTGATTTTCTAATTCGGCAGCTCCATTGAACTGGGCATGGTAAGTGGAAGAAAAAAAAAACAGAGCAATACCTATCTGAGAAAAATAAATTAACTGGTTACCTCGATCAGACACAATCTGTTATGGAATACCAAGTAAACACCTCTTTGCTGCAGATAATGGCTAATTCCCAAGAAAAGAAGATGGCAAGTTTTTGAAGTGGTACAAAATCAGTGTCACAGTACATCCATCAGAAATGGGCAGATCTATTATGAATTCCAAGTTTTGCTGGCAATAGGTAAGCCACAGGGCAATTTGCTAGAGTCAAAGTATCTCTTAAACACATCACACTCTTATATATGTATATATCCTTTGACATCCTTACTCAAGGAGGGCTACCAAATTACATGAGAGAGAGTGGATATGGTTTTAGACACACCTGGATTAACTACTGACATAGTATCATGAAAGAAAGACATCAAGGTTAGTCTGTCACCAGGAATCACAAACAATTTGTTTGGTGTTTCTTGGCTAGGTGCTTGAGTTTGTTCAGACTGTATACATTTCAAGACAGGGAAGGAAATAGTAAGGACAGTAGAAGCAATTATCCTATCTGGAGGAATTATATTAATTAATAATTATTAATCCTGGTAAAATATTTTATAAATAAATATTTGTTTTCTTTTTCTTGTATGTCTTTAGGTTTAAACTGTCTGGATAAGCCATAGGGAAAGGGGGGACGGAGGAGGAGCTCGGCTTAATACTGCACAAGGGACACAGGTATGAATATAATCCCTCAGGACATCATTGATGACATCCTTAAAGACAGTTAGAGACAGTTAGGTCTGTGATTGAGTATGTCTGTGATTATGTGTTTATATGTGATTGTGTGCATAGGTCTGTGATTATGTGTGTATAGGTCTGTGACTGTGTGTGCGTGCGTGTGTGTGTAAATCTGTGATGGTATGTATAGGTCTGTGATTGTGTGTGTGTATTTGTGATTGTGTTTATGGGTCTGTGATTTTGTGTGTGTGTATGTATGTGATTGTGTGTATAGGTCTGTGATTGTATGTGTGTGGGTCTGTGATTGTGTGTGTATATGTGATTGTGTGTGGGTATGTGTATACATCTGTGATTATGTGTGTATGTATGTGACTGTGTATATATCTATGATTGTGTGTGTATGTTTGTGATTGTGATTGTATGTGAATGTGTGGTTCTGTGCTTGTGTGGGTATATCTCATTGTGTGTGTGCATTTGTGCATGTATGTATGTTACTGTCTGTATAGGTCTGTGATTGTATGAGTCTGTGTATGTATGTGATTTTGTGTATAGGTATTTGATTGTGTGTGTATTTTTGCACATCTATTATTATATGTGTATGTATGTGACTGTGTATATAGGTCTGTGATTGTATGTGGAGCAACACAAATGGAAAAAAATACACCAAATATAACAGAAACCCCAAAAGTGAAAAAGAAACACTCAGTGTTTCAGAGTAGGATACTTAAATAGACAAATTAACTGTGATTGTGTGTGCATGTGGGGGTCTGTGATTGTGTGTCTGTATCTATGTGATTGTGTGCATGTGTGTGTTGTGGTGAAAGTGACCTTGCCACTGGTTTTTGGAGAGGTCTGCTTGCCAGCATGTTACCCTGGGACTATGGGCCCTGTGATAACCTATGTTCAAAAGTACTGTTTCGGCCTCTTGGACTTTTAACTGGAACAGATTCAAACATGGTGGCCATCTTAAATAGTCCAGCAGTGTTTTGTCATCAAGTGTATGGAACTGTTTTGGGCATGGGACCATGTGCACAGTGGGGCAAAAATAAGACTTCCATGAAATTCCTGAACCCCTGAACCGATCTGGGTGATTTTTGCATATGTTGTTCACCCAGATCGGGGCTCTCATGGGATGTGTATTTGGGGTACTTTTTGGGGTTTGTAAAAATGCATGTTTTTTTCTGCTTAGAGTTAATTGAGTTAGTCCATTGTCTTTGTTAATTGTATCACAGGCAGAGGGGAGGGTTTGTGTACATTAACTGGGAGTGTTCAAGTGTAAAACTCTATGTAACGGACCGTTTTGCACAAAAGGGGTAAAAACCGCTTAGACGATAATCCCCTTTCAGAGACAGGCACAGCTACTGTAGAATCACCAAAACTCACGAATTGAATACAAGTGAATGCACCAAACACCCGAACTGCATACAAGGGAATGCTCCAAACACCCGAACTGCATACAAGGGAATGCTCCAAACACTCGAACTGGAACCTCACGAATAGCTGCTAGCAGACGAACAGGAAAAGCACCCAAGCGGCTTACACTCCTGGCAATCAGTCTCTATCAGCATACAGTAAATCCCCCCAAAGACGAGACAAGGCTCCGTGTTGAGGGTCAAGCAGTGGTCTGTTTAATGAGGGCTACCTGCCCAGTATTTATGCAGGTCTCCCACCTGGTGGACACTCCCCTAGGGGACCAGATGGAAGACTGTAACAAAAGACAGACATGTACCAATTACAGACATACAGAAGTAAAACATCCCCACAATGCATCCTGGCTTCCTCCCCTCTGCCCTGGAGAAGTAATTCAATTATCTCCCAGGACAAAGGCAAAACTCCATTACACACGTGGGGACACAAAGACAGACTATCACTTTAAAATACATAATGGGACAAATGGTACAGTAAATATATACATGTAACATATCCCCAGATAGCTCAGGTCTGAGTGCACATTATTAGGTGAATGGCACTCAGACCACACGAATACAGTTTAAAGAGCCAAAGTCTTTAATTCCACGAACAGGCTCCATGGCATGGCTATCTGGGTTAAAACATTCCTCCAACATAAAATACCGAATTTACATGCATTCGTTAAATCCGTACGAATTAGAACCAGGGGTTGGAGGTTCAGCGGTGCCTGCACGTAAAAGTGTCCGGGTTTGGTGCAGGAAAGCCGGGCAGAAAAGCGCTGGCTGCCCGGGGAGCTCCAGAACACCGCCATCGTGTGGCGGCTAAGTGTAACCGCGACCACCCAGTAACAATCAATTAAGCTGCGATTAACCGCAGCTACTGGGTGGTCAATTGCCGGCACACGCTCGTTAAGCCGCGGTTAACCGCGGCTTCAGGGAGGTAAATGGAGGGCGCACTCCAGCTTCTGGGTGGCCAATTAACGGCGCCGGCCGGCTTCCCACGGCTATGGGGAGGCTGAAAATAAACTGTTTGTTCGGTAGATGGAATCTACCGAACGGCTGTGCAGAAAGGGAGAAATAAATCCTTCTGCACAGTAAAATTAACCCTTTAGCTGCCGGTCCATAATCCAAAGGCAGCAGGTGGGCAACCAGGCTCCTCCAATGCAATGTGGCGAGATTTCATGTCCTGTGCCCCACAATGTCCCCCTTGGTGGTAACCTTGTGAGGAAAAACTGTATAAAAGAGCAGCTGTGCCATTAAACCTTCAGTTCTACTTCACTCTCAGTCTAGAGTCCTGCGCTGGTGGCTACTCCACATGTCGGCCTGGAATGGCAAGGCAATTTTTGGACAGACTCTGGATTTCATGCTAGAGTCGTGCGCGACCAGCTCCACGGGGAGACCGTGGTTGAAGATGGAATCAGAGTTCCACATGGAACTGATTGCGGGATCATTTGCGAGTCGGAGCCTGGCGAGTCACCTTTCTGATTGCTGCGTCCTCCTCAGGATGGGCAATATCTCTGCGGTACAATACATCAACCGCCTGGGAGGAGCCTGCTCCAGGATACTTTCGGAGGTGACGAAGGAGATTTACAGTTTCTGCTTCCAGTGCAACATCACCCTCCAGGCAGAATATCTTCCGGGGTAGTCGAACCTGATGGTAGATTGGTTCTCCAGACATTGGAGAGATGCCAGCGTTTGGAGGCTTTTTTGTCCCGTTTTCCTCGAGATCGCAGACCGGAGGGGTCCATTCTCTGTGAACCTTTTCGACACTGGGACAAACTATCAGGTCCCAAGCTACTTCAGCTGGCTTCCGGATCTGGCTTGCACAGCGGTGGACGCTTTCCTTCAGCTGTGGCTGTACCAGGGAGCTTATGCATTTTCTCTGTTTGCTATGATACTACAAGGTCGACGTCAACGTGTGTCTTTGGTATTGCTGACTCCTCTGTGGCAGAGTCAAGCCTGGTTTCTGGAATTTCTGGATCTATCCCATCAGGATCCACTGCTTCTACCATCCCCACTGATGCTACTCTCGGACTCCGAAGGCAATCCTCACCCGCTCATGAGGGACTGTATAAAGTAATCCAGGCACTCCAAAGTATCCCAAAAGGCAACTTTTATTGTACCCACAAACAAAAAAACAACTTTTCGACTCTGTCTTTGTCAAGCTACTAAACACATACACAGCAAGCAATATATAGGTGTACAAATAATTAACAAGTAACAAAACATGTGATGTAACAAGATTAATTAACCACACAATCAATCAATACTCATTAACCATTATACCAATTATTATCCACAACACATCAGTGGTGTCAACTATCATAGGGCATCTAGCCGATTAGTAATTATTATTAATATGATATTTATAGAGCACCGTCAAATTCCACAGCGCTTTACAATGGGTGGACGAACAGACATGTAGTTGTAACCAGACAAGTTGGACACACAGGAACAGAGGGGTTGAGGGCCCTGCTCAATGAGCTTACATGCTAGAGGGAGTGGGGTGACACAAAATGACACAAAAAGGTAAGGATAGTATTAGACTAATGACAGTTGCAGAAGAGGAATCAGCCAGGAGCTATTAACAGTTTAATTGATACGCTTTTATGAAGAAGTGGGTTTTTAACAATTTTTTGAAGGAGTGGAGACAGGGTGAGCATCTAACGGAGGAGGGAAGCGAGTTCCACAGGAACGGTGCAGCCCTCGAGAAATCTTGAAGGCGAGCATCAGAGGTGGGAGTACGGACAGAAGATAGACGTAAGTCTTCAGCAGATCATAAGGGCCTAGATGGGACATACTTGTGTATAAGGGAGGATAGATAGGTGGGAGCAGCATTATGTAGAGATTTGAAAGTAAGAACCAGAATTTTAAATTGAGCTCTATATTTTATAGGAAGCCAATGTAGGGATTGACAGAAGGGTGAGGCATGGGAGGTGCGGGCGGACAGGAAGATGAGCCTCGCCGCCGCATTCATTATGGACTGTAACGGTGCTAGTTGGGAGCACGTAAGACCACTGAGAAGTGGATTACAGTTGTCAAGGCGAGAAAGGACAGTGGAATGGACCAACACCTTAGTCGCATCTGGCGTTAAGTAGGGGCGGATGCGCGCAATGTTTTTGAGATTGAAATTACAGGATTTGGCAATAGATTGAATATGAGACTTGAAGGAGAGGTCGGAGTCAAAGAGAACACTTAGGCAGCAAGCCTGCGTGGTGGAGCTCATGGTAGCACCGTTGACTTGGAGGGAGACAGACACAGGAGTAACAACACTTGAGGGAGGAAAGACCAGAATTTCAGTTTTGGTCAAGTTTAGTTTAAGGAAGTGGGCAGCCATCCAGTTAGAAACAGCAGAGAGACAGTCAGAGACTCTAGTCAAGAGGGAGGGGAGAGATCAGGAGTGGACAGATAGATGTACGTGTCATCCACATAGAATTGATATTGGAAGCCAAAGGAGCTAATGAGTTTACCAAGGGAAGCAGTATAGATGGAGAACAGTAGGGGACCAAGGACTGAACCTTGGGGGACACCAACAGAGAGGAGTTGGGGAGAAGAAGCAGAGCCAGAGAAAGACACACTGAAAGAGCGCTGGGAGAGGTAGGAGGAGCACCAGGAGAGAGCAGTATCTTGTAGACCGATATTGAGGAGGATGAGAAGAAGTTGTTGATGATCAACAGTGTCAAAAGCCGCAGACAGGTCAAAGAGAATTAGGATAGAGTAGTGACCACGAGATTTTGCACTGAGTAGATCATTGGATACTTTGGTCAGTGCCGTTTCCACAGAGTGCTTAGTGCGGAAACCAGACTGAAGCGGGTCTAGCAGAGAGTTGGACTCGAGGAAGTCTGTCAATCTCGCATACACAATTTTTTCAAGGATCTTGGATGCAAAAGGCAGTAGCGAGATAGGACGATAGTTGGATGGGGAGTTAGGGTCAAGATTGGGCTTCTTTAGAATTGGGGTTACAGTTGCATGTTTGAAGGGCAATGGAAATATACCAGAGGAGAGAGAGAGATTGAGAATTTTAGTGAGAGGTGGAGAAAGAGAAGAATACAGAGTAGGGATGAGATGCGAGGGAAATGGATCTAGGGAGCAGGTGGTGGGGCGAAAGGACTGGAGCAGATTCAATTCAATTATCTAGAGATTAAGAGACCTTAATTGCCAGGGATATTGTTTAATTAAGCAAATTTAGTAAATACATAAATTCTGAGGATGCCGGAAAAAATCCAATTACTTAAGTTTCCCGATAGCTCACATGATCGTAACCATATGAGCACGCCTAATGTGTAGGAACAGATTTCCGGATTAATCATATGATCATGCTTGTCCGGATCGTAGCCAACCACGTCAACTTCCATCCGGCCAATCGGCATCACACAATAATCCATTAATTGTGTTGCCAAGTATCTCGTAAAAAAGTAGGAGATACTTTTAGCCACAATATCATCCAAGCCTCCATCACCAATAGTATCAAATGCGCAAGCACAGTAATACATTTCGAAAACAAATAAATGGATACAAAGAATCATATATAACGAGCCATATATGAAAGTGACAGCCCAGATGGTGGATCTTAATTAGAAAGTGAATCTCAACAATGCCATTACCAATATTTCTGTGAATATACATTTCAAGGAGTTTGAGAGAAGAGTTTTTCGAATGGAAAATATAAAATACAGGTTAATTTTGAGAAAAATACAGTTTTAGAAGATACTGGTAACTTGCAAGGGATTTAATTTGATATAATGTATTAATATAAAGTCTGATATAACGTCAGACATTATGGATAAAGTTTTGATGTAGACCAATGAAGAAATGTGTCGAATTAAATTCATTAATTGATTTAAAGGGGAATCCTTTAATTCACCAACACTATCTCAGAAATTACACATTATCAAAAACCATCCCATAATCCAAGGACTGTGACGGATAAACAAGCGAATATTTAACATGTGCTTAATAGAATAATATCCAGCACCACCATCACAGATTATGAATGTAATCTGTAAAACATAATAATAAAAAAATAATAATTTAAACATTTAAAAACAACAAAGACAAAATTTGACTTAAATAAACGGACTGAAGTCGTATTCTTGATTAAGTCCCCTTGGTGCTAAGGTAACAAGTTCTTTGATCCAATACGCTTCTCTAAATAGTAATCTTTTTTGTCTATCCCCACGTCTGAATCTTTCTTCAACATGTACAATGATTTGTCTCATGAGGGACGGCCGCCTCCATTTAGTAGCCTGGACTCTTTCAGGGGAGCCTGGAATGTCGAGGCATTATCAGAGTCGGCTAAGGACCTCCTGGGCCCCTGGAACTACTTGTCAGCTTGGAACTCCTGGTGTCGTTGGTGCCTGGAATGGGTTAACGATCACTTTATGGGCCCTATAACCAGTGTTCTGAACTTTCTGTCACATCTGTTTGACCTGGGATGCTCGTATTGGTCGGTTAATGTGGCAAGGTCGGCGTTTTCGGCGGCCCACTTATCACTTCAAGGTTTTCCCATTGGTCAGAACCCGCTGATTTGCAGACTTCTCCGAGGCATGAGACTTTCGCGGTCTCCAATGCCTAAGTATTCTTTCCTCTGGGATGTACACAGGGTTTTGTCATTTCTCCAGGATTGGCCTGATAATCAGGATCTTTCCCTCTGTCAGCTTTCGGCTAAGTTTCTCCTATGCCTAATTTCTTTCAGTCGAGTTTCCGACGTCCGATTCGATGGCTATTTTATACCCATATTTCCACGACTCACCTAAGCTCTGTGTGGCGACGACTCTGTCTCACTATGTGGCGCGTACTTCTCCACTGTGTCCTTCTTGTTCTGGTCAATTGTTGATTTCTTATGTCAGACCTCACAAACCGGTCTCTTCTCCTACCCTGGCACGATGGATTAAATAGTTGTTGTCATTGGCGGACACCTTCCGCCAATTTTATTTTAGACTGGCGGATCATGCTTCTTTTGCTTTGCTGTCTGAGCGTTAAAACAGCAACTATGTAGCCTCCTGTAATGCTATAAAATTGTAGATTATACTAGCTTTAGTGTAAATATAATCTTAATTTTATTAATGACAGGAGGTGAATATTTCCCCCCCCTAGTTTCACCCTACCCTTGTACTGTTATCCATTTATTTTATTTGACTACCTCTAGTTGATAGTATGTTCTCCAGGACTGTGATTTAGATAGTCAGTTGTTTTATCTTTCTGAAGGAAGTCAGGGTTGGACTTTATAAATTTGGTACAGTCGGTAGTAGATTATGAAAAACAAAAATAAAGTGCGCTGTGCCTTTAAGACCATCAAACAATACAAGTGAATAACGTTCACATAAATATTAATTTCCAAAATTGTATAGAGTGCACTGTGCTTAAACACACTACAAATCAATTGATGGGTGATATAAATACCACATACATGTGCAATAACATAAATAATTTGTGCCAATACAAAAGTGTTAAAGTTTACTGGTGACAAAACACATATGTGCAAAATAAGGATGAAATTATTTAGAAGGTTACCTCACTTTTAAAAGTTTTGAAATTGCTTCTATTAGAACTTCAATGAAATACTCAAAGAAAAACAGAACAAAAACTCATAGGGCAATATGCATAAAACATAAATATTGAAAATATAGATAAAAAACACTCACAAGAGTAGAGCAATTAAGTCTGCTCTGAACTATGTTGGCATCTCAGTGTTTAGAGGCTTGAGGCTGTGATGGCAGTAAAAATCCTTTGACACTCCAAACATTAAAAAGCAGTTGTTTGGCTATAAGTCCTCTTTCTGTAACTCTTCCTCGCAAATGTGATATAGTCCCAAACAATTTCTTCAGTCCTTTTCAGGCTCCAGAAGCTCTGTGGGCTACTTCCACTCACACTTGTTCCGGGAGGCGGGGCTTACTGCGTTTCGCTGACATGCTCGGCTTCATCAGATCCACCCACTAGTCCATCACAGTCTCAATATAAAGCATTTACACAGGGCGTGCTTACCCAAAAGAGTCCGAAAATTCTGTTTTATGATTGGTTATCTTGACCATCATATTAACATACATTATAGATGCCAAACCCCCTTTATTTAAAAACAAACTGAAACAAGGGCATTATTCACTAAATGTTTAAAAATTATTATTTATCTACACGTACATCTTATCATTACACCTCTTTGGACATTAATCCAGTTAAATAAAATAATATAATATAAATTACAATACATGAAAACATTTACTTTTGCTTGTTTGTGTGATTGGAACATAAATAGTAAAGAACAGCTGGTGACCAATAAGGTAAACCAGCCAAATGTGTGTCCAGGGCATCCTGAACTGGGGGGTAACCCTCACATGTGTATTTATAAAAAAGGAAAAGAAAAGTAAGACCAGGGGAAAAAGGAAAAAGGAGGGAGAAAAGACACACACCCTCTTCCTTGACCCACAGGGTCAACCCAATAGGAAACCCCTACCTAGAAATAATGCTGAAATTTAACCTTTAATAAGGAAAAATTTAAAATGTCATACATACAAAATATATACAAAAAATGAAGAATAAAATGGAGAGAGAGGGAACAAATAGAAATAGCCCAGGATAGAGGGTGTACTGTGTCCACTAGAATCACCTAATGGTAATAATCACCTTGTTGAAACAGCAGTGTATAGCACCCTTGCCTAGGTTTATAAGCAAGGGGCTAAGGTAAGAAGTGGGGTAAAGATAGGGAGAAATGTATATAATGGACAAAACCCCTATAGAAAGCCTCCAGTTGCAAACATAAACCAGACTATAAATCTCTGCCACAATAGAGACAGAGCTCCTTATCCAGAATGACACAAAATGTCAATAACTGAAAGCACTATTAATTGCTATAAGTTATTCTCAAATAGATACAAGGTGATATCGCATTGTACAATATCTACTAGCAAAAGGAGATAAAAATAATTATGTATCCCTTTCTTAGGATGCCCCAGAATAAACAGAGCTGACTAATAAACTCTGGAGCTCCTAATAAATAATATGTCACAGTCTAGCTCTATCTACATACGTGAGTATATACAAAGTGCGACCACCACCCACCACTTAACAAGCAACCCCCGAAATGAAACTACTAGCTAAATAGCTACTGAAAAACAATTAGCTAAGTGTTCCCTCTCTACATCTGCCTAACGCGCGTTTCGGCGCTGTTCATAGCACCTTCCTCAGAGGCATCAACCGTGGTCCACCATGGGTCGGTATATTTATACATAGAACAAACCAATGAAATTAGCGGGCGTGTAGAATCCTGTTCGCGCCAAAATCGGCATTCGAACAGGTCCCGCCCACCAATATGCGTGTCACTGAAAGATGGATAAATCATATAGAAAGAGTTAACCCTTTATGTATAGTGTTCTAAATTACTGATACAAAAAAATCCAAACTGTTTCTTTTCTTTCCCAATATAGTACAATATAAATTAATTACTCAGTACCCAGTATCAAAAACAAAATAGGGGAACTAAAAAAAGGGAAAGATACGTTTTTGTAATAGATTATACAACACATATTTATTAATGTCCACCAATATAAAGCAAATTATTTGCAAGCATTCAATCAATGATGATTATGCCCCCACTGACGGCAGGTATGGCAGTGGATATTTGCCCTGCCATTGTAGCGAGAAGGTGGTGGGGGTTCCCTTGTGCTGGCCTGAACGGAGTGGGGTTGACTGGTGCGGAGGTGGTCGGGTGGTGCTGTGCAGGTGGTCTCAGGTGGCTCTTGTTGCTGGACCCATGATGTCTCCTGGCATCGAAGTGTTGGTCTGCCAACCGGGCTGCTTCGGTTAGGGTGAGGGGTTTTCGATTCCTCACCCATTCTTGTGCTTCCGGTAGTAGTCCATTAAAGAACTGCTCGAGTAGTATTAGTTGGCGCAGTTCCTCCAGGGTGGTGGCTTGGCTTGACTGAATCCACCCTTGGGAGGCTTGGTCCAACTTGTGCACCCACTCAGCGTGCAAATCTTTTTGGGGTTTTCGCAATCCCCGAAACTTGCGCCGATATGCCTCAGGCGTGATGGCATACCTCTCTAGGATAGCCCTTTTAACTTTAAAATAGTCTTTGCTGTCCTCTCTGGGGACAGCGCGATAAGCCTCTGCTGCCCGCCCTGCCAACTTTTCTGCGAGCAGGGGCACCCATACTGCCTGCTCCAGGTCGTGCAGGTCACATAGCCGCTCGAAATCCTGCAGATATCCGTCAATTTCATCCTTCTCCTCGCAGAATGCTTTAAATGCATGGTACGGTATCTTTGGCTTTACCGGACCGCAGAAGGAAGTAGTGATGGATTCTGCCCTGGACGGTGCTCCCTGGTGATGTTGTGCCATCATGTATTCCTGTACGTCCGCCATCAGGACCGTCAGTATCCAGGGGTACTGGCTGTGGTAAAAATTCCAGCCGGGTTCTCAGTTCCTTTTGGTACGGAGTTTCCTCCCTGGTTGGTGGAGGTGTGCTGCTGTGCGCTCGGTTGCCCTCCGTCAGTTCAGCAATCAGCACGGCATTAGATTTATTGCTAGCGCTCTTTCCTGTCGCTTCCAGCAGTTCCTTAAGTGTCTGCCTTTTCAATGTGGTGTAGTCAGTCTCCATTCACTGATCTCTTTCGTCAGTTTGCTGCATGCGAATTGCCATTCCCTTAGTTTGGCTGTTTCTTTTCATTTGAATGTGCTTTTCGGCTGTAGAGTTGGATCCCGTCGCTTGACACCAATTGTAGCGGAGCGGCAATATTAAATCCCACGATCTCTGCTGGTTCAGAAGGTAATCCACAGTCAAGCGCTGAAAAGCAAGGCAATATCCCAAATCTCCCAGTAACCGGACGAAACACAGTTCTGAGAGTCAACTGAAGGCTTTATTCACAGGCTCCACAATTTATACAATTCCCCATGCAAGGGGTTTCCTGAATCCTATCCCAGGGGTATTCCCAGAATGGACTACGTGGGGAACTTACATTACAGAGCCTTTCCCCCCATCAGGTACTGCTGCACGAGAAGGATCCTCCCACTGGAATGTGCCGTTAAGCTGATTATCCCTCCGTGCAGCAGAACCGGCAATTTACTTTAAAATACACCGTTTTTCGAATGTTAGGTCTATTTCCATGAATGGACGTTCGGTAGATAGCTGGGGCCTGAGCGTATCATTCGTGAGATTACCGCTCAGATCCCAGCTAAATCAACCGAACGCCTCACGAAAAACATATTCATTAAAACACACACTTAAAAGACCGATTGATGTATAGGGAATAAAATACCGAACGGCCCGGAACTCCCGAACGGCCTGGAAGTCCAGCGGTGTTCGAGCCGTCGAGTAGCTGTTTTTAGTACCACGCGCTCGACGACCAAACACCACTGGGGAACAAAGGATCCTAGATGGCCGACCACCGCATGGTTGGTAGCCAAACGACGGCCACCTTGGAGAGCCTCTAACAATGTTGCAATCGGTTAACAAGCGCCACACATCTCTCAATGTGTGGGCTGTTACAGGGTGGTTATTTCGGTTCACGAACGGCCCGCAAAAGGTGCCGTTCGTGAAACGAAAGGGAATCAGCTATCTGCTTTCGGCAGATAGCCAATGCAGGCAATACAAAGCTACACAATCGTATTACATTATATCCAGAAACACACATAACACGAAAATCATACAGACAACCCTTAAAGCGATAGTACTTAATGTCCAAGTAGCTAGATTTGCCACATCTCCCAAGCGGTTAATAATCCCATCCAGCAGTCTCTAGTCGTCGGTAATAAATCCCCCCAATAATGAGACCAAGCTCCGCATTGAAGGTAAAACAAGAACTGGCTTTACTGTGGGCTACCTGCCCGTATTTATGCAGGTCTCCCACTTGGTGGACACTCCCCTAGGGGACCAAATGGGAGACTGTAACAATAGACAGACATATGGCAGGTTAGGACCCACAGACACAGAATATTCCCAGCATGCATTAGTATTTCCTCCCCTCTGCCCTGGAGATAATTGAGAAGTAATTTAATTATCTCCAGGACAGAGGCAAATCATCATTTTAAATTGAACATAGCAAAACATATAAAAATACCTAACTTTACAATTGTCGAATTTTACCCATTCGTATCACATATCCCCAGATAGCCTGGATCTGAGTGCATATTATTGGCGAATAGCGCTCAGATCCCATATGCATAGTTCAATCGCCATGGAGTCAAAGTCTATTACAGTCTTTCGGTATGCGCCTGACTCCATGGGAAGACTATCTGGGGTAAGTCCATTCGTGCATTTAAACCTCCCGAACGGCCGGTGTTCGCATACTACTGTCGATTGAGAAGGGAGGTCGGCGGCTTCAGCGGTGTTCGGCAGAAAAAGTGTCCATTTTCAGTTCCATTAAATCAATGCCGAACACCGCTGGTCTTTCGCATGGTTTAAGATGGCCGCCGCCTTGTGGTCGACATACAAACGACGACCACCCTGTATTCGGTTTTAATTGAGAAGTGTCTGTGGTTAACCGCAACGTTCTAATTGGGATCAAGAGGTTAACCAGCAGCACACTTCTCTTCTGGGTGGCCGTCCGTTCGGTAGTTTTGTTCGGCGGAAAAGTCAATTCACGGAACAGGGGCATACGAACGGGTAATTTCACGAAAAGGCAAAACAGACAAATCCAGCAATCTCAGTCTATACAGATGGATCTGTCACAGTGCCATTTTTACTTGTTTTGTGTTATCTTTTGAATTGTTTAGGTAGTTGATTATGGATTTTCATATTTTCACAGTACATTTTATTCATTAACCGGAGTTTTCAACTCTGTTTGTCTCGTTTCAGTTTAATGGTTCGTCTAAAGATCCACATTCAAGACCTTCTTCTGGATAAAGTTTAATGGCTTATCGACTGATCCATGTTTGGTTTCTGGTCCAGGATGAATGTTATCAACTGTTTCGTTTGCATCCTTCTGCTACTACTATGTGGATATGTTTATTTCTGTTCTTTTTTGTCACAGCTTGAGGAAGTAGTTTATTGGGAGGGGACTTTTATGATTCCTTACTTTTTTCTGATTGGTTGTTTCTCTATGTTAATGTGCTGCTGTGGAATTCTAGTAAAGAGAGACTTAAGCAATTATTCGCCTCCTATCATTAATAAAATTAAGATTATATTTACACTAAAGCTAGTATAATCTACAATTTTAGCTGAAGACAAATTATCTCCTGCTCTATTTAATTTATGGCATCTTTATTAGAATTACTGGCTCTCCATTTATTACAGAAGCATGAAAGCCCCTGACGCGCGTTTCGCCGTGCAGCAACCTTAAGCCTCACGGCTCATCAGAAGGGATGAGCCAGTAATCATACTATTCTAATATAGAAGCCATAAATTAAATCCAGCAGGATATAATTGTCTTCGGCTAAAATTCTATAAGCTATCTAAGATTTAGGGGCATAATGCTCCTGTAACACATTGAGATAGCTATCAGAGTTAGTGCACAATGCCGTTGGAATAAGTGTGTAGACTAACATGTTTTTGCTTATAGAATTATAAGTCTAGCTAATTATTAGACTTAGATTACTTAGTAGCTTTAGAAATTGTGCAAACTAGCAGGTTTTCAGTGAAAACTACTGTACTTTTAGGGATATAATGCTCTTGTAAAATACTGAGTGAGTAACCTGACCGCTTAGCAATCAGACATAGACCACAAAGCTGTTTTAGCCTGACATCGCTCTATCGTGCAGATTGTCAAGGTTTTAGGGACAGAACGCTCCTGAAAAATACTTAGGCAGTAAGCAGACTGAAATCATAAAGCTGTTTGTTGTCTGTCATATTCCAATTTGATCTCATAAGTCACTAATGCCTCTAGATAATGATATGGACGTGTTCCGCATACCAATTAAGCAGCAGTGAACAAGTAGAGACTTTTCATTACAATATTAAATCCGAGGCATTTAGGAGTTAGGGATGTATAGATAGGCATAAAAGCAAATAGGTTGTAAAAATGATCTTATCTGAAAATCAGCCAGCCGCATTTCCCTCTCTCTGACATCACCACATTCGTATCGTGAAAACTGACTCACTTAACTAATCTAAACTCCTACTTTGAAATAGTGTGTACCAAAGGTTCCAACAAAATAGATTTTTTTCGTAAATTGATACACATTCACTACTTTAACAAGAGTCTCACTAAGGAGAATATTGGCAACAAGACTACTTATAAGGAAACTACACCAACAGTGAGAACTAGCAAATAGATTGTACATTTTCAATAAGTTATTGGTCCTATATATTTCACTGTTTAGTAGAGCGTCCCTCCCTCTTTTTGCCACAACAGACCTCACAGCATCTAAAATACCTAAGTCTGACCAGTATAGGACAGCACTAGTGATGTCGCGAACCCGAAATTTTCGGTTCGCGAACGGCGAACGCGAACTTCCGCAAATGTTCGCGAACCGGCGAACCGCCCGAAACGCCATTGACTTCAATGGGGAGGCGAATTTTAAAACACACAGGGACTCTTTCTGGCCACAATAGGGATGGAAAAGTTGTTTCAAGGGGACTAACACCTGGACTGTGGCATGCCGGAGGGGGATCCATGGCAAAACTCCCATGGAAAATTACACAGTTGATACAGAGTCTGGTTTTAATCCATAAAGGGCAGAAATCACCTAACATTCCTAAATCACAATCAATATGGATTGACACCTGACATATGACATATTGACACCTTGACATATGGATTGACACCTGTCCTCAGAGCCCTGATGCACACGGACACAGAGCAGAATAGAGACTGGTCCCCCTACATAGGGTCACTTGGCAGATATGGATTGACACCTGTCCTAAGGACCCTGATACACACTGACACAGAGCAGAATAGGGACTGTTCCCCCTACATCGGGTCACTTGGCAGATATGGATTGACACCTTGTTACAAACTGCTATTTGTAACGGGCCCTTTAAATGGCAAATTGCCCTGCTTCCCTGGGTTGTGGAGAAGCCTACTTTGCCAGCCTCCTCCCGCATGACTATGGCCCCTGGGAGATTGTGAAAATGTATGCACTTTTATTTGGTGTGTATGGCCCTTTAAGACTGTCGGTGGGCATATTGGGGCTTATGGACTCTTTATGTGACTGGTGCTGGCCTTTAAACACCTTTTTTGGGACATCAGGAAGATTGGGACACTGCCCCTTTAAGGCCGTGTCCCCAGACTTGTTGGGGACACGGCCCCTTTAAGACGGTGTCCCCTGTGTCCCCAGACCTGGTGCAAACCCTTTGTGCCTGCCTTTGCTATTTCCCACTTGGT